TGTGAAGTGCCATCTAAGGTCAATGTGTCATCAATGGCTTATATAATTATACCAGGATTCAGCCTGTGATGTGGGGCTTGCAGCCTACATGTTACTTAAGGCATGTGGCTTAGGAAAAGATTCCTGAGAGAGCTACTAATGAGAAAAGCAAACATCTGTTTGCCTCATCTGGAGTCTACTTTTTTTTTTTTCAATATATGAAGTTTATTGTCAAATTGGTTTCCATACAACACCCAGTGCTCATCCCAAAAGGTGCCCTCCTCAATACCCATCATCCAACCCCCCCTCCCTCCCACCCCCTATCAAACCTCAGTTTATTCTCAGTTTTTAAGAGTCTCTTATGCTTTGGCTCTCTTCCACTCTAACCTCTTTTTTTATTTTCCTTCCCCTCCCCCATGGGTTTCTGTTAAGTTTCTCAGGATCCACATAAGAGTGAAACCATATGGTATCTGTCTTTCTCTATATGGCTTATTTCACTTAGCATTACACTCTCCAGTTCCATCCATGTTGCTACAAAGGGCCATATTTCATTCTTTCTCATTGCCATGTAGTACTTCATTGTGTATATAAACCACAATTTCTTTATCCATTCATCAGTTGATGGACATTTCGGCTCTTTCCATAATTTGGCTATTGTTGAGAGTGCTGCTATAAACATTGGGGTACAAGTGCCCCTATGCATCAGTACTCCTGTATCCCTTGGGTAAATTCCTAGCAGTGCTATTGCTGGGTCATAGGGTAGGTCTATTTTTAATTTTTTGAGGAACCTCCACACTGTTTTCCAGAGTGGCTGCACCAATTTGCATTCCCACCAACAGTGCCAAGAGGGTTCCCGTTTCTCCACATCCTCTCTAGCATCTATAGTCTCCTGATTTGTTCATTTTGGCCACTCTGACTGGCGTGAGGTGATATCTGAGTGTGGTTTTGATTTGTATTTCCCTGATAAGGAGCGACGCTGAGCATCTTTTCATGTGCCTGTTGGCCATCCAGATGTCTTCTTTAGAGAAGTGTCTATTCATGTTTTCTGCCCATTTCTTCACTGGGTTATTTGTTTTTCGGGTGTGGAGTTTGGTGAGGAGTCTACTTTTTTTTCAAATGTTTATTTATTTTTGAGAGAAAGAGAGAGAGAGAGAGAGAGAGGCAGAGAGACAGAGAGAGAGAGAGACAGAGACAGAGAGCATGAATGGGGGTTTGGGGACAGAGAGAGTTGGAGACACAGAATACCCAAACAAGCTTCAGGCTCTGAGCTGTCAGCACAGAGTCTGACATGGGGCTCAAACTAATGAGTCATGAGATCATGACCTGAGCTGAAGTTGGATACTTAAACAACTGAGCCACCCAGGTGCCCCAATCTGGACTTTTAATCTCACTTTTCTTATATCATGTTTTTACCCAGTGATCACTTTATTGCATGATTTTTTCATTACCACCAATGTTTCTAAATGTAGCATTGTATCATTTCCTATGTTTTAAAAGAATAAGTTAAAAAAATTAAAAAGAAAACCTGGATTACCAAAATGCTTAAGGGATTGTGCTTTGGTTTTTTTTTTTTTGTTTTGTTTTTTGTTTTTTCTACTCTGATTTGCCCAAGAAAATCAGATCCCTCTCTCTTGTGGGCTAGTAGCACTGTGTCTTACTGTCTGGAAGTATTTATTACAATAGTAATTAATTTTGGCCAAACATTTGAAACATCTGCAACCCTGCTAGAATGAAGGCAATTTACGAACAGGGATGCATGGCATCTGCCTTGGCCGCAGTGTCTCCCTGTGTAAGTAGGCACTCTCAGAGAAATTTATTGAATGTAAAATAAATGACCCCATGTCTAAAGATTAGTCTTAAAATTATGTCTTCTGCACCTTATCTCTGTAGATTATAAACCATGCACAAAAAGTCTATCTCTACCACTTTTCTAAACCTTAGCTCTATTATCTTAGCTTTTTCATTAATGAGCTATTAAACCTTGGTCTTGTCAATTGATCCCTTTGTGCTCAATTCCCTCATTTGTGAAATCAGAACGTTTCAGAAAACAGTGATAATTTTTTTAATTTCTTTCTTCATTTAATTATGTTTTATTTCCTTTTTAGAGCATATTTCCTTGGCCAGAACTAAAAGAACAATGTTAAACAACAGTGAGGGTGGAAGGAGGAGACGCTGGATTTTTAAAGGCCTATGTGAAAGGCCATTTGAAGTACACCAGTGTTTCCGAAGATGTGTTGTTCGAGTTCTTTTTGAGGAGTGTCTTCCAGAATACTCCAAACTCTTAAAGTCTAAGATCAAAATGAACAAAACTGGGTAGAGAAAAAGCATAGCTCCTTTTAAACAAGTTGCTATTTTAATACTTTAAAATTGAATCTTGAATTATAATGCAGCAATAAAATCATCTGAGTGCAGGCAATTAGTTGAAAAGGAGAGATGATCACATAGCCTTCTGAGGTAATAATTTGCAGGAAAGCCCATAGATTCAATGTTTTAAGTACTCTTTTCATATTTGATCAATGTAATCTTCTTGTTCATTTTAATGATGATGTTAACATTAGGCTGTCTGAATCCTTTGATTTACTGCTAATTGTCAATTTCCAAGCCGTGCTCAGCAGATGCTCATGCCTGCATTCATAGATATAATTATGTGAACCATCTTTTTAGCAGTCAAGGCCATAGATTTAAAATGTAGGTAAAATAGTAGCTTTGGGAAATAATTATTTTCAAATTCCAGGGTTTCTTTTTATGATTAACAAAAATCTATCTAACAATGTATAGATGAATGCTTTGCCTTTCTAGAACCACTCTTAATTTGTTTCTTCCATATGCTTTTTGGTATTTTCCAAATGTTCTACAAAGGGCTCATAAACTTTAAAGAATGTTCTCTTTGTAAACTGCTTCACAAGGGAGGCCATTTCTCCTCAGCAACCCCTCCAATCACTCACCACTTCCAGGAAATTAATGAGACTCAAATTCCTTCATAGAACAACCACCCTGGTCATTGCTTAATGGGCACATATACAAAGTGGCTATGGCTCAAAGGGAGAAGCCAAACTGCCAACAGCAAAGATTAAAATTGAGCCTCTGATGTAGAACCTTTACCAAGGTTACCAGAAGGGTGAGATTGGCTCTTTCAATCAGGGAGGAAGCAACCATTTTTGTCACAGGAATGGAAATATATTCCTCATACAAATTTATTTTCTGTGCTCAAAATGTCTCTGCTACAACTGGAATTTGTGGCATTCCTTATTCATCATTACAGCTTCTCATATAATAGAACTTCTGACCAAGGAAATAATTTTATGGTGAAGGATGTACAGCAATGTGTCTTGCCCGTAGGATTACCGGCTATAGACAAAAAAGAGGCAGAGCAAGATAGCCAACTAGGAGGTCCCAGACCTTGTTCTCCACTAAAAACTATGACCTAACCACTTCTAGAATAAAAAGAACTCTGGAAAAGTTTCACAGTCCAGGTTAGAAATTGCAACAAACCAGTGGGGCAAAAGAACTAAGGATAACTGTATACAAGAGAGTGGGAAAAAATAGTTTCACGTTATCCCCTCCCCCAGGCACAGCTCAGTAGTAAGAAGAATGCTTTCAGCTTTGATTTCCCCCTTGGGGAAAAGCAGTATAGGAAGACACCAACAGTCCTCCCACTGCCAGGGACCAGATTCTTTGCTGCTAAGGAACCCCACAGTCTTCACCAGTAAGAGCCCCAGCTTCTGGAGCCACTAGGAGCTCAAACTGCCACGTCTCTCCAGAGCTGCAGATATTGCATGCCCTCCCTAACTGCCACCACCGGGCACCACCTCTCAGCTGACACTGCTAAGTACCCTTAGTACCACCACATACCCCTGGACTTGGAAGCCCCAAATCCAATTGCCCACGTGCCCACATATGCTTCTGGAACCAGGTGTTACCATGCCCCACCTCCCAGAACTGGTACCCATACATTCTCCTAAATCCAGCACTCACTGGGCCTGGGTGCCTCCTGGATGGGTGCCACTGCACACCCCATCCTAGACGGCAGCCTCATGCCCACCCACAGATAAAACTCCTTCCCTACTGAATCCGGTATGTAAAGGCTATGAGGAAGTCACTGCTTCTTCTAGTGAGCAGACACCAATCAAGGCTACAAAGAACACAAAAAGTTGGGAAGAAAGACAACCCAGAAGGAAAACAATAAAATTTCACTAGCAAACTCCTGAATGTGGAAATCTATGAATTGCCTGACAAATAATTCAAAAATAATTATTTTAAAGAAGTTTAGTGAGCTTCCAAAGAATACAGACAACTCACTGAAACCTGAAAAATAATACACAAAGTTCAACATAAAGATAGAAATCCTAAAAAAAAAATATTTTCTGATAAGCGCTCTCTTTCTGACTTGAAGATAGTCACCTTCTTGTTATGTCTTAACATGGCCCTTCTTCTGTGTATGTGCTGAGAGAAAAAGAAACTCTCCCATGCCTCTTCCTCCTCTTATAAAAACATCAATCCTATAGATTAGGGCCCTACCCTTATGACCTCCTTAACATTAATGACCTCCTTAAAGGCCCTCTTTCCAAATAGAGTCAGACAGGAGGTTAAAACTTTAACGTATAAATTTTAGGGGAACATAATTTCATGCCATAACATTTTTCCCCCAACCCTCCCACCACCAACAAATTCATGTACTTCTCACATGCAGAATACATTCACCATGAACCAATAGCTCCAAAAAGTCTTCATAAAACCCGGCATCAATACTAACTCAAAACATCATCTACATCTCCTCTAAATCATGTATGGGTAAGACTTAAATTGTGCTTTATCCTGAGACACAATACCTCTCCAACTGTGAACTCATGAAACCAGACATATTAGGTACTTCCAAAACACAGTGCTGGGACAAGCACAGGATAGACATCCTCATTGCAAATAAGAGAAATAGGAAATTAAAAAGGGGGGATGTGTCTCAAGAAAGCCCATAACCCAGCAAGACAAATTCCAGTAGATTTTTTTTTTCCCCAATAGATCTTAAGACTCGAGAATAATCATCTTTGGCTCAGTGGTTTGTCCTCCAGGCCCATTGGGGTGGCAGTCTCACCCACGTGGCTTTGAGACAGTGGCCCCACCTCACCTCATCTCTGCAGCACAGCCTGGCTACTGACACCAAGGAAGTGGGCCCACCCTATGAAACTAAGAAGAAAGAAGCCTTGTACACATGGGCTTGTGGATGTGAGTGTCAGCCTTGATTATCTCTGAAATGTCTTTATATACGTCATTTTCTCCCTTTCCTACAGGATATGGCATGCTCACAGCTGGATAACTCTATTGTTCCATGTGTGAAACCCCTGAAGTCTAAAAGCCTTCCTTTATTTCAACTGATCTCTGTCCCTTTCAATGCAAACTAGTAGCGTCTGTATTGGTGTAATCACATCTTTATTTCTGGCTTCTGCTGAGATTGTTGATTAAAATTATGTGGCTCAGTCAGTTAGGCATCCGACTGGCTCAGGTCATGATCTCACACTTTGTGGGTTCAAGCCCCGCGTCAGGCTCTTTGCTGACAGCTCAGAGCCTGGAGCCTGCTTTGGATTCTGTGCCTCCCTCTCTCTCTGCTTTTACCCCACTCATGTTCTGTCTCTCTCTGTCCCTCAAAAATAAAGAAATGTTAAAAAAATTTTTTTTAATTATGCATAATCTCTTTATGAGGTGATTGCCCAGGCACACTGGACAGTGATGTTCTCTCCAGAACATACTTTCTCATTTTTTGCCATATGCATAGACTGAGAATTTTCCAAATCTTCAATTCTGGTTACTTTTTACTTAGCAGTTCTTTCCATTTCTTGCTCTCCTCTCACACTTTACTATAAGCATTAAAGAGAAACCAGGCGATAAGTTCAGCAATTTGCTTACAAACCTTTTCAACTAAATATTTATCACTCATAGGGCTAAAGACAAAGGAATTGTACCCAAGCACTGTACTTGAGTTCAAATTATGTTAATAATTCTGAAATCACAGTACACATATAATGGAAATGAACACTTAAGAAAATGAATGGCAATAGTGGGAGCCAGGTTTCTCATGGCTGGAGTAGGAGGAGGCAATGGGAGAAGACTATATTGATTCACATGGTAATGAATTAAAGTTCTCAACATCAATATGAATTCATGGTTAGCTCGCTATAGATACACATTCTTACATATAACAATATTTATGAACATGTCTCCTTAAAAAGAAACAACAGGTCTAAAATGGAGTCACTTTTGCTAAGCCCCACCAAGACTTATTACCTAACCTAACTTCACTTTCAGCCTTTCTCAATAATAAAATTTTAAAACAATTAGTCTGGAATTTCTTGACCAGTACTAGTGAGGAAATCTACATGATAAAACCCCCTGCCTTTCCTTAAAGGAAGGTAACTTTCCCTGAAATAATCCACTCTTTTAACTTCCTTGTCCTATCCTCCTGCCTATAAACCTTTCCTTTTGTGCAACTCGTCTGAGCTCCTTCTATTTGCTAGATAGGATGCTGCTCAATTCATCAATTGCTGAATAAAACCAATTAGATCCTCAAACTTACTCAGTTGATTTTTTTTTAATAGTATACACACAGGTTAGTATATGCACACATATTCTGCCCTGTCAGCTAAGAGGACCTAAAAGAAATGACATCTCACTAGCAATAAGCAAATCTAGTATCCACATCTTGGTTTCTGATACTATTTTCAAATAAAGAAAATTCAAAGAAAAATTCTCCTTGGAGAAATGGCTGATTTTAAGACTGGGGCAGAAAATACACTGGGTGAGCCTTTAAGCAACTGGTAAGTAAAATTGTATTGGAATATAACCCAAAGTATAAAATAAATATCCATAAGTCCATATAGGTATAAATGATTGGCTACGTAAATGGGTGGAAACAGACAAATCACCGTGCAGAGTAATTAAAAATAATTTATATAGGTACTTTACCAGATGCTTCACTCTCAAGAAGGGGAGGAAAATTATCCACTCTTGACATTTGTGCTGTATACTTCCTTCCAAAGGCTGCAGTCTGAAAAGAGTAGAAAAGAATAACTTTACATTGGAGAAGCCTAACAAGCACTACTTCAGCCAGGTGATCAAAGTTGACATCAATCGTGATAAGTCATGTGAGTATGAGTTATCCTTGATAAGATATGATGAGAATCGTACTTGATCTGTTGTCTTCCTCACGAAAGCCTCAATACCAGTCTAGTAGTAAAAGACAAATTCCATCTGAAGAACATTCTGCAAAATATCAGACCAGTACTCCTGACAACTGTCAAGGTCATCAAAAACAAGGCAAATCACTAAAACTGTCATAGCCAAGAGGAGTCTAAGGGGACATGATGATGAAATGTAATGTGGTATCCTGGATGGGATTCTGGAATAGACAAAAAGTCAGTAAGTAAAAACTAATGAAATCTGAATAAAGTATGGACTTTAGTTAATGATAATGTATCAGTAGTGCTTTTTAATTATGACTAATGATCCAGACTAATATAAAATATTAATAATATAATTATTATGTTCTTATATTTATATTCAAATATAATATTTAAATAATATAAAATAATAATAATAGAGGAAACAGAGTATGAGGTATGCGGGAACTCTGTAGTATCTTTGAAATGTTTTTGTAACTCTAAAACAATTCCAAAATTTAAAAAGTTCATTTAAAATAATCAATTAAATCCCTTCTCTCAAAATGAAAATATGTCTACCACAGACAGTTCAGTTAAAAAAAAGCAGACTTAAAAAGATATTACAATAAACAATAATGATAGTAATAATTAAAATTTTCCATCAAATCCTTTTCAGATATTTATGAATAACCAGAAATTCCCAGAAATACCTTTGTCAGAGGCTTCCAATTCTGCAGCTGCCTTGCTGCATAAACTCAAACCTCTGTCAAGCTGGATAAGTTTTTACTCTAGATTAACATTTTACTCTAGATTAATTCACTAATGTATCCATCTTTAAGCGACTTTGTGTATCTCATTATCTATACTAATTGTAAGATTTAGGACATTTTAAAAATTTATGCTCAAAGATCATCCATAATGTGCTATAATTCACTACTTATCATTATAAATGGTGAAAATAAAAACCTGTGTGGCTTGAATTGGTGCCCATCCTCCTTTGTCATAGGAGTCATGTCTGTCTTGTTAACACATCTGTACACACATCTGTGCACCTCTTGTAAATTTTGGTTAGTACTTTGAATGTTAGCCACATGGAATGTTAACTCCACAATGAATAAGAGATCCCTAACTCCATCAGGTCAAAATTCAATGTCCCTCCAAATGCTAAATTTTTGCTAGGTGGAGGTAGACTTCCCAGTAGGACATAAAGCACTAAGTCATTTATAAAGCCATATGGTCACTTAAATCTTTTGGGAGACAGAGTAGGAAGATGAATAAATAAATTAAACATAAAAATTTCAATACTAGGCCTCCCCGAGACTGGAATAACTTGAAGACATAAAAATTTTTCCTACTCAAATTTTTACTTTTCGAATTCCAGTTTTCTCAGAAAACTATAATTTGATGAAAACGTGTTATTTGGTGACATAGCTATACATAGCATTTCATCAAATAGCAAAAGTAATCATAAATAGAAGTATAAAATTATGAAGAGATAACAATTTTTTTTTGTGATTACCAAGAAGGAAGCAAAGATTATGCACAATAAAAGAAATAATATAAGACATGTGTACAGTATAACAAACAGAATGGAGCTTACTCAACTGTAGTAATAATTTAGAAATGATATAAAAATGAACATGAACTTAATAATTACATACATTAAGATGACAATTTAAAAAACGGGCTTACATATACTTATGAGGGGCTTTTCTCATAATGCTTAGAGATGATTGATCAGCCTGCTCATTTGGGAAGGGGAAGAAGATAATTCAAAAGTGAGATAACCTATCCTCCATAGAGTCAAAGATCACAATTATGAACAAACCAGAGGGTTTTTTTCATAGGGAACAATTAGCACAGCTCTCTGAGACTTAGTCTTCACATTCAGGAATTTTAAGAATTGTTGCAATATTCAACAAGTAAACCAGAAGCTTATCTTGCGCTCAAACAATTGTTTCATTTGACAGTTTTTATTTTATTTCTGTTACTCTAAACTGGTTGTATATAAATTCATGAAAGCTAAATTTCTCAATTATGTCAAAACCATTTGGCATTATATTAGGCAATTCCTTGAGTGTTAATTTCTGCCTTTCTCAGACATTCCTTCTCCAGGTGCTGCCCTGACTGTTTTTCAACTAAGGCCAGTTAGATGAGCCATGCATAGAAGGCTTAGCTCCACTGGCTGGTGGGGTCTTGGTTAATTTTTGTTGCACTTAAACCAGTTTAAACTACCAATGGTTAGTGCCTCATTTTTAACTAAACCTCAGGGTTTCTGTTAAACCCTTTCTTCTTATGCTCAGGATTCAACTTTTGTTGATGTTTTCTGATCTGTACTCCGGTCTCCACCATTGGGATTTGATTGGTATCTCTGTCATAAGTTAATTAGAAAGCTTTATCCTGCACGTAAGAGATGCTTCCTCAGACTTGTACTACGCGTAATAACCTGTAAGAACTTGGTTATGCAGTACGTTAAAACTGCTGTGACCAGTAGAAAAGAAAACTATGGTACTAACTTAGTTTGTCTCCTAAAATAGCAGTCTGCAATCCAAGTCTTAAATGGCGTGGATGGGTCAGGTTTGGAGTATATCAGTGTCAACATCTGAAACTCTGGCAACGTGGGAAGAAAACTGGGAGTGGCCTGATTTAAAAGAGAAGAGCAAAAGAAGCAATGCTATTTGAGTCATGGCAGTGTAGCTCTACCTTATTTGAAGCAAAACCCTAGCGAGTAATAGGGATTAGAGCTACTTTGCACTTTGTTCAGAAGTGTTCCTTTGACTTCAATACCATTCTGAGACTGGACTGCATGGTTCATGACTTTAGAAGTATTGTAGTTTATTTGACAGTCAAACTTTATTTTCCCAAAGAAATTATCCTTATTTGATTCTTCAGCAATGCTACTTTAGTTCACATGGCAGACATTAAATGGTGAAGATACTTTCTGTGCACCAAAAGTTATGTTCTTTCCATAATATAGAGTTCTTGCCAGGATGCAGTGGCTAGGGATAGGGACTACAGTCTCCAACCAATCTTGTGTCCAGATATGTCCATGTGACCTATTCTTAACTAGGATAATGTCATTTTACACCCGAGACTTGATTTAAAATTCATTATATATAGCAGCCTGTGGGAACCAGACTAGGTTCACAACAGAAGAATAGAGAGGCATTTAAGCTGAACTCTCCACAACATACTCTAGGTTACCAATGAAAACAGGCCACAATAAAAATCTCTTCCAGGCAATTATTCAAGATACTCTCTCACATTTGATTCCCAAATCAGTAATCATTTTCATAGCATCAGCCTCCTAGTTCCATCTTGCTATATCTAGTTACTCTGTGGCTATTCACTCCTACTGGCTTCTTTGGTACCCCAAGATAGCATTCTCCTTTTAGGACTCAGATATTGCCCTGTTCTGAATTCTCTGTCCTATGAAAGAATGAAACCAGTATCTGTATCTTTTTCTAAGAACAGAGTAAATGTGGAGGACAGAGAATTTAAAAGCTTTGATACAAGAAAATGATATTCTAGAATATACTGGCATTACTCCCAGAGAAAAAGATCAGCATAATTTTACAAGTTAACAATTGGAATCTAGGCTTTTGAAGAAATTAGTAATTAACATCAGAAAGCCACTTCCTTTCCTAGATTGGAGAAACAAAGGGATGAGTTTGTTGATCAGATACCAAAGTGTAGGGTCAAATGACAGTAGCTGTAACCACAGCAGGCCCAAACAGTGGGAGCAGGAAACAATGAGGAGATACAGCCGCTGCTAGAGAAGCTCCTCTAGGTAGGGAGGGAAGAAAAAAATAGCCTAGTTGGTTCTTCCTTAGTTGCCCTCCAATCTCCATCAGTACTTCCCATTGGCCAAATCCAGCAGGAAGGCATCTGCTAGCATGGAGATCACTTAGTTTCCCTTCAAGTCTTTCTTCTTAATAAGCTGGAGTCATTTAACACAAGAGATTGCAGTTCTCTTTAAACCATCAAGATAATAAAATTAGTCTGTTCATATAAAGGACTAGCTGCCTGTATTGGAAAGATATCAAATTATTTTTAGTTTGAATATCAGAAATTATTGGGTAAACAGATATACAGTGAGAGTAATTGAGGAGTAGACTTCAAGGAGTCTAGAAGTTCTTTTGTTTTATTCTAAAAATTTCATGAAGGAAAAAATTATATTTTTCTTTCCTAAAGTACAGTAAGAAATAGTACTTATGCAGCACTTATAAATGCATTCTTTAAAATTTTTCTTAAGTTACTGTACCTCATCTAAAACTAGCTATGTGACATTTAAATTGTATTTATTCTGATGAAAAGATTTGCAATAATTTAGTTAAAGATCATTATTATGTAGAAAAAACAATAATCATACTGAATTTCATTTAAAGTGATCTTTCAATAATCCCCTTAATTCTGAGAGGTGAGGACACAACTCTGTAGGAAGACGCTAATGAGTAGAGCCCTTAGGCAATTGGTAGAAAGAGGAAACCACGGCCCTTTAAAATTCCGCCTCAAATGCCAGTCTTAAGGAATAGAGATAGAGTTGCAACATACAAGAGGTCAGAGTTGAAAAAAGAAAATCACAGAACATAAAGGAAACAAGCCACCATATATAAGAGTCAGCAGAAAATTATAAACAACAAACCTAAAACCACAAAGACATCTGATATTGTTATGTTTCGATACTGAATACAAAATAAGTGTGTTTACTATGTGAGAAGCAAGTTTAAAAAAACTGAAATCATTAGAAGAAAGAAAATTAGATATTGAATCTACACTCCATCTTAACCTAGAAGCTTTGACGTTATCGGTTGAAAGCTTAGAAATAATTCCATCTGCACTGCAAAAAACTCAAAAAGTTCAGAACTAATAATATCAGGAAATAAAGTCACAGAGAAACAAAGAGATGGGAAATAATAAGAGATTATGAGACACAGAGAATTATAGTAGAAGGTCCAATCAACCTTTAAGTGGAATTTTAAAAG